TGTTCAAGCCTTGGTCCAATATTATCACAAGGCAGAATGACCTTACCCAGCGATGGGAAGCTTTACCCATCGATGGGAACCCAGCGATGGGAAGGCTAAACCATCGATGGGAAGGCATGACCGTTGGAAGTCATTTAAGGTTGATTCTTTCCTTGTTTGGAAGTCAACCTCCCACCCAGCGATGGGAAGCTTGTACTCATCGATGGGTAGATAACCGTTGGCTTCAAAACTGAAGGAAAATTGGCCTACCAGCGATGGGTAATGCCCATACATCGCTGGGAAGCCAATATCCTGCAGATCCCAAATTTATTCAATCCCTTAAATCAAGCCAATCACCCCTTTAATGCATTGATCCGTTGGAGCCTTTTTTGGCACTATAAAAAGGGGTGTTTGGGTCTGCTTTTCTTATCAAATTCACTTCACAATATTCATATCATCATTGCATTAAAGCAACATCATTTTTCATAGCTTTCTAGAGCCAATTTGTGAAGTTTGAGTTGTTCTTGAGCGTATATAGTTTACTCAACATCTACTCTAAAAGAGAGCCTTGTTCTTGAGTGTCTTAGTGTTGTATACACATTAAGGGAAGCTTGTTTCCCTTGGATGTACGAAGGAAAGGTATTTTCCTTCGGGTTGAAGTCTTGGAGTGCGGTATCTCCGAGCAAGTGTTGTTAAGGCTCCTGGGACTCGAGTTCTCAGGTTGTAACGGTTTGTTAAGCACCCGTAAGTTCTCAGGGTAAAATTCGGTGTGCCTCTTACTCTTCTCTTTACTTCTCTTTTAAGTTTTTTATTCCTGTGATTTCTACGATCAAACGCTATTCACCCCCCCTCTAGCGTTGGTCACTTATTCTAACATATTTAATTAGCTCTCCAACAAAAACGCCTCAAAAACCACTCTCCGTTTTTTTTCGTTTAGTAAAAACCATGCGAAACGGCACGAACTTTGTTAGCCGTTGTTTTCAACTAAATGACGTGGTTTTCAAGATGTTTTACTTGTTCTCTTAGAAAAATGCAATAAACAAATGTTTTCTAAACTGGGTTTTTATTTTGGAGAACTTGCATTTTTGACATCGGCTAACGGCGTGACTAAACCAACCATGGGTCTGGCTAAACCAGCCCAACAGCGATGTTGAGGTAATCAACAGCGCTGTCTGGCCTGGGTAACTAAAAACATGGTTTGGCGTTAAGTCTTCCAACAGCGATGTTGGACACTAGACATCGCTGTTGAGCCAAGGTTGGATTTCCAGAAACTTCTGGAACAGCGATGTAGGCTCCCCTACAGCGCTGTCCAACCTAAGCCAAAAATATAGTGCATTGGCAGAAAGTTTTTGGACAGCGACGTTGACCCAGCAACAGCGATGTTCTAGTATAGAACATCGATGTAGAGACCTGACCGTTGGAAGGAATTTAAGGCTAAAACTTTCCTTGTTTGGAAGTCAACAGCCAAAACAGCGATGTAGGGATTTTAGACATCGCTGTTGGCATGACCGTTGCTTCCCATTTTTCAAACCGCAAGCCTAGAACAGCGATGTCCAGGCATAGGACAGCGCTATCTGGGTGATTTTCAACAGATCCAAATTTCATCAAATCCCACAAATTATGCCAATCACCCCTTAAATACTTTGATCCGTTGGAGCCTATTTTTCTACTATAAAATGGGGTGTTTGGGTCTTTTTTACACATCACATTACTTCACAACTCCTACTCTTTCATTGCAAATCATTCTTCAATTTTTCATAGCTTTTGAGAGCCATTTTTGTGAAGCTTGTGTTGTGTTCTTGAGCGTTCTTAGTTTACTCATTATCCACTCTAAAAGAGAGTATTGTTCTTGAGTGTTTTTAGTGTTCTTAGACACTTGACAAGAGAAGGTATTTCTCTTGTTGTTCGAAGGAAGGGTT